AAGTAAATAAATAAACAATTAAAAAAATAAAATCGGAGGCCAAAGCCACAAGTTTTTGGTATCGATCAGTCTTTTTGAAAAATTGCCATTCTCGTTCCAATCCTAGTGGCTCTTAAATGCGATCAGGGTACGTCGTACTTAGGGGTTGCCCAGAGAGGGGGTCCTATGGTTCTATGGTCAGTTGCTTCCCGGAAAATTCCTTTCCTTTGTTGACTTTCCTTGCTTTTTCCCGTTTCACTGACGCTATATATACCATCTCCCCGCCGGGAGATGATATAAGGTGTGATGGAGGATAAATAGATCGTACCGTAGATAGGAGAAGTTTTGAGCAGGGGAGGGGGGGGGGCGTACTTTGCTTTGCAAGGTTCCCCCGAAAGTAAGAAGGGCCCTGATCTCGATGTTGCTCAAACAGTGGGTCGATTCTAGCTGACTTCGAACCAGTGTTTTTATCCTCCCAGACGAATCCAGTCATCGTGGCAACATCTCGGAAAATGGGAAGCTCGGCTAGTCTGGTCGGGGGCTGTTCCTAGACCGTGCCTCCGGAACTGTTCGAAGTCAAGCCTTTTCCACACGATTTCAAACCCATGCAAAATCTCTTATGAACCACGGCCTCTATTACAGCTTAGTAATCATTGTAGTAAGTCGCATGTAAACAAAAACACCTCATATTATCGCTACAAATCTGTTGTTATCCATTTAATGGAATTATGAGACTAAAAATAGTTACGACAATTACTAGTATTACGGTAAGTCATCGTGCAGGCTTCCTCAACCAAAATTGCCGACGTTTTCAATACTTGGCGAATGTTTGGTGCAATCAATCGGTATCGCCATAGTAATAATCGCCGTCCATATCTCTATGGCAAAGATGCTCGGGAAGAAATTCAATTATCACGTCGATTGACAGTCAGGTGACAATATGTCTTTACTTTTTTTTTTTATCCAGTTTCTAGTAATTACAAAGTTGCTGGGTTACTGAGTTACTAGGATGGCGCTAGTTTTTCTGTCAGGGTAGCGCAGCGATGTGTGAAATGGTGGCCCCACTGAAAATTCCTCATCTGCTACGACCCACTTCGAACTATCCTACCTTCCCCCCCTTCTTTTCCATCTCACGACCATCATTTTCTCCCCTGCTCTAAAACGGGCCAGTTTTTTGAAACTTTTGCAGTTTTTTCGCCCCCTTCAAAAAACTGCGCAAAATAGGCCGAGGGACCGAAGGAAGGGCGAGAATCGTCACCTGCGGTGCAAACACATAGTTTCAACTTAAGGGAAAATATAGTTCTAGTAGGTTTGGCTGCAAAGCAGCGAGTGAGGGAGGAATATGTAGGGCAATATAATCCAATATGAACAGACTGATATGGGAAGAGGACCAGTTCGATCCATTCGCCATTCCCCTCCCTCCCCTGCTATGAATTTGTCCCCCCTGCGAATGCGCACACCTGTTCTCTACTGTATTAAGTTTTAATCGTCGGCGAATACGCGTTGCGGTGACAGGATTGAAGGGCGTGGAATAAAAGCCTCCGAGCTCTACCCGTGCCGCGTTTTCGCCTAGTCGTTGGTTAAGACACATCGTAACGCTCATATACATGAAAGGGTGTATGAGACTATCGCCCCCAGATGTCAGATGTATCCGTGTCGCGCCCCGGGCCCGCGACGAACGGGAAAAAGGAAACATGCCCCAGGAATGGAGATACAGGGCCGTGAAACACGCTAATTCTTCCATGCTCCGCCCACTGCCTTTTTACGGCGCAGATTCCCGCCGTTCATAACATCCGTCGTAAGCGCGCCTGTCGCGTGCGGCTCCTTGGCACTTTGCCAAGTCCTTTAATTGCGCTCTCAAATACAAGGAAAACGCAATTTCCTGATGCGGATAACATTGGAGGTGCTACAAAATAAGAGCAGAAGATGATGACGAGGGTCAGAACTTAAAAGCAACTGTGCCACTTCTGCAACATCCCTCGGAGGCCGCGTATTTCCACGAAACATGAAAATAAAACGGCATACTCGTTAGTTTAATACAAGCAAAACGCAATTTCCTGATGCGAATAAAATTTAAGGTGTTGCTCATGCTTCAAAATCCATGTACAAGGAGATGAAGATGACACAGGCTAGAAATGAAGCACAACGATGTAAATGTAAACAAAACAAAAATGAAAAAATCAAGGAAAGGCAAATTAGTTGAAATCGCCTGCAAATTTCTACGATCCGGCGCGAATTCAGCGCCAGAGCAATAGAAACATACTTAGGAATAAAACGAGTGGGACGCTTGGATTGTTTTTTATTTTCATGTTTTGTGGAATGCGCGGCCCTTGATGGATACTGCAGATGCAGCCGAGTTGCTCTTGAGTTCTGCCCCTTAATCAATCAAATCCTTCCTGGCCTTATTTTTGTAGCAACGCTTCCAATGTTATCCGCATCAGGAAATTGCGTTTTCCTTTTATTTGAGAGCGCAATTAAAGGACTTGGCAAAGTGCCAAGGAGCCGCACGCGACAGGCGCGCTTACGACGGATGTTATGAACGGCGGGAATCTGCGCCGTAAAAAGGCAGTGGGCGGAGCATGGAAGAATTAGCGTGTTTCACGGCCCTGTATCTCCATTCCCGGGCATGTTTGGGCGGGGGGACCACGACACATCGACATCTGGGGGGCTGATAGTCTCATACACCCTCAATGTGTATGAGCGTACTATGTGTCTTTAATCTAACAGGACATAATATGGGAAGAGAGTCAAGTTCGATCCATCCCCTTCCCCTTCCCCCGCTGATGGAATTGTCCCTCGATGCGCACCCTGTTCTCTATTGATTAGGCTGATATCGTCGCGATACGGCGTTGCGGGATCAGGAGGCGTGAAATGAGCTCAAGCTCACCCGCGGCCGCGTTTTCCACCAATAGTCGTTGGTTAAGGTAGAAAAGCCAGTGGTAGAGAACGGGGCGAGTGGCTCATTCCACGCCTTCTGAATGAAATCCCTTACCGGATGGCTACGACAGTAAAAAGATCGAAGAAGGGCCTGGTGGTGAAGTGGTGAGCACACCAGTTCGATAAGCGTGGGGTCCAGGTTCGGACTGTGGTGTGTGTCAAATTTGCCCATAAGTTCGCGTTCTTGTGATGACTTTCGAATTGCGCTCGGCCAGAAACAGAAACTATCGTTCGGAAGAAAAGTCAGAACTTTTCTTGTTAGCGCATATTCGTTATATCACTGAGCTGTTCGACGTCTTTGAACTTGCGCTTGGACATTGACTTTTCCCCATCAGTGACCCTTTAGTTCCTTCTTAAAAAGTCATTTGTGCTCGTTCCAGTGATTATTTGAAATGTCACGGCCGTGTCAATCCTTTCAGGAACTCTATGCCATCGGAATCACCTCGCTACTTGGCAGTTGCTTTTCTGTATATCCAGTATCTACGGCTCTCGGTAGGACCATGGTGAACGTTAAAAGTGGCAGTAAAACGCTGGTTGGTTTCGCTATTATTCTATCAAGTCACATTTCTGACAAATGGGTTGGAGGGTGCTACGCGGCGGCGCGCCTCTATACGCTTCTTTTCGCTGCGAACGCTGGAGCGTGTCAGAGTCTGGGTTTGTTGCGGCGCGTTTGGTATGGTAAAAGTAACCAGCGTAACTAGCTGAGAGCAGGCGGTTTTGAAAAGTCCTTAGGTCAGAACAATCGGCAAATTTCCTTGCACGGCTGTTTTGTATCTGGTAAGGAGGTTGTAACTGGCTACCTTTCTTGGAGCTGCAGGCACCTATACCATTCTACAGGTCTTTTTTATCATTTTCTATTTCAGCTATCTACCTTGTTCAGCTGCACTTTATTGATGGCAGTAATTCTTTGGCTCGGGGCATATCTAAGTGCTCTTCCTAGGGTAAGATTATTCAATGCCAGGTTTCTCATTGAAAAGACATTACGTGATGACCGAATGGGCGGAGACAGAACACTACTGTGCATTCCCTATTGAAAGCGTCCCTCATTTTGGGCGCCATAGAGAAATATCGCTAATATGGAGTAGTCCATAGCCTCTGCCCATGCGATTAACGCGCAATGTGCACTTAACTTCGAAGGGGAAATTCGAAAAGGCTGGAAAATCAGTCCATAAGTCTCAGCAGTTACATTTTCAGTGCGTTTTGGCCTCCATCATCACTGTGGCACTCAAGTCAATGTTCACCGTGTGTGGTCAAGTGAAGCAGATCTATACAATTTCAAAAATTGATTTTGTGAGTATTTTTGAGATGAGCTTTTCAGCAATTGTTGAGGGCTTCTTTGAGCAGTTGCCAGTATAATGGCTGATTCCTTAATGGAAAGAAACACAGTCTTCTAGAGCGAAGACGTCGCAATGAGGCGAGATGTTGTCGTCACACACCGGCTGCGCCTCGTTCCATTGCGGCACCTCAGCCTCCTGCGGTTACGTTCATACTTCGCGGCTTCAACCGTTCAGAAATGGAAATCATCCGACCGCGCCCTGCCGCTAATCATTGGACCGCTGCAACTGCTAATCTGATCTCGTGGAAGTTACTTCAACCTTGCAGCCACTGTCCAGCCACTGTCCAGCGTCGAGCGATTGGCTGTGGTGCCAGTCAAGTCGTACGAGTGAATCGCTCGAGCTGCGAAGTATGAACGCGGCCACATGGTTTCTGGATCGGCACTTGTCACCCTTACTGCCCCGCTCAGAATAAGTACCAACCATGTCGTCCGCCGAAAAAGCCTTGGCTAGAAATCTGTCTTCAACGTCGTTTGGCCCCAAACACGTCTCGCTGGCGCATGAGCCAAGGCGCCACGAACCACCAAACTCCCTAAATAGTCGTTCTCCACGATGATTTGCTTTCTTAACTCCGCTAATAATCTTGGAAGGAGCACTCAAGGGACTCCTGTGCAAAACCAGAATCAACCTAATCCGAATAAAGTTCTCGTGCTGGGACTTGGTTCATTCATTGAGGAGCGCCAATTTCCCTTTGAGCTGAGGCAAAAGTTCCTACCTCCAACACGGTACTCTCGGCACGGTTCGGCTTGGGAGCAATCGAGGGGGGGGGAGGGAAGGGAGAACGGTATGCAAAGAAGCTTATACAAGCCTTGCGAACACGTGTAATTACTTGTAATCAACGTGGCTCCCTTGTACTATTTGACAGCTTCACAAGAGTTCACAGGTCCTACCAGAATAGGACCTGTCTGCTCACATGAACTAGCAAAAGAAACTAGCGAAAATGCAAAATGCCCCTCCCAAGCCGAATAGGTCTAGTTTTGCACACGATTCCCATCAGATGTCCCTCTAAGGTCATTAGCGCCGTGATTTGCTCGTCATTGGCAAGCCATAAGACATTATGTGACGCCCTGGCACAGCCTACTGTGCTGCGTATTGTACTGCGGAATGCGAAGTGTCCTTCCATTTCTCTTTTCATTTATCTCTCTTTTATTTTACCTATTTTTATTTACTTTTTTTACTTTTACTTTCCCGCACTTCCATTTTACTTCAGGCGATATGGCTGGTGTCATTCCTCTGTACGGCACTGATTGACGTCATGGAAGGTTTAGCCATCTCCATTCTGTTCGCATTATTCACGGTTATCTGCCGATCTCAATGGTACCACTGAAAAACGCTCTTCAAATGATGAGACTCTTTGACATGAGACTTCCAGGCCGAAATGGCAGTATTTCTTCGAATCATCACACAAGCAAGAGCAAAACGGGGAGAAACCTTCAGATAACCCTGATATATGCGTATTCCGCTTCGACGGTCCATTACTGTTCACAAATGTGGAGAGGTATTTGTCGGGTATGTGACAAGACAATCGTAATATGCCACGCCGGTGGGCGTGGCGAGCGACGCCGCGCTTGTGAGACGAGTTCTCTTGTGGGAAGGGAAAATCCATATAATTTGGCATTGAAACTTGCCTCCCCTCGAAGTCATATAGGTTTCTAGCTGCAATCAATAAAATGACACACATCGAGGACTGACGTGGCGCGCCCGCGATGCCCCGCGCACGACGGCGCGGCAGATGACGATTATCTTGTCCTCTCCCGTTTTTCTAACGTTAAGATGACCCGTACTTTGAAGATTGTGGTTCTATAAGTAATAAGTCTTACTAAAAGGATTTCCTTCAGGTTTTTTGGCGGTTCAGGAACTCGCTTGAACTCCACCACTGACGCTTGGATGAAGACGTGGAAGCAGACTGAGCACCAGGTGAACATCTGTCTTTCCCGGCCCTCAATGAAGGTGGAAGGGATCTCAGGGGGAACATGCCTATGGTGCAAATTCTATGCAGATTCGCCAGATTAGCGGTTAGCGAGAAGGGTGAAGGGGGTGGCGTGGCCTGGATGCTCTTTAGATGAAAGCAGCTCCAGCCCCGCGCCCCCCCCACTTCACCAATTAGACTCGTTCCCAGGGCTTGTCCTGGCGTAGGGGCAAATATTCGCAAAATAGGAACCCCCTGGAAAAATTCCTCTCTGATACGATCCCCTCCCCGGATTATCAATGATGAACGTTCTCTTGGCTGAAATAGTTCGTTACAGAAGGCAGTCAATTTCACTGATGAGGCAAAACGGCCTCAGAATCTCTCGGGAGAGCATGGACCGCCACACTTCCTAATTATCGACTGCAAAGCCATTGCCTATTGCGACTACATGGCCGCCTGTGCCTTAAATGAGGTTGCTGTTTTTTTTGTTAGAACGAATACTTTCCCCTGAAAATTCAGGAGAATTCGATTTGGTAGAAGAACGAAAAACAAGGGTGTAAACAGCTACAGAAGGCGTATTGAAGGGAAGGAATTCGGGTTTCTTGAATTCCCATCGAATACAGCAAAAAGTTGGCGTTATTGAATTCGCAGCGAGTTGTGTGTAGGCGCTGTTCGGCTTAAGGGGAGCTTATGCGGCTCTGAATCTCTTTCATGTTTAGTTAGTACGTTTTATCGTAAGTTAATTTATGTTGAGTAACAGTTTCATCTTCATGAAAAGCTCTGCGACAGAGGCCTTAATGACCATAGCCCATAAGGGACGCTTTATAAGCTTAGCTGAGTCGCCATTCAGAGGCCCCACTCAAGCATAACTGCGCCGAGGCTCTTTGTTTGAAGGATAGGCAGTGCAGTAAGTTTAGTGAATCATCAGACGGGGGGGGGGAGAGAATGCAGGCGTTTCGGACAGAAAACTAGTTGGGCAGCTGATGTCTAGGGGGCAGCTATGTCTTCATTTAGCTCAATAATTTCCAGGAAGTGGAGTAAATTAATTATTCAATTAGCTACGTATTAACTTTTACTACTAACTATCCAATTATTATAACTAACCGCATAGCTAATCTATTATGACTAGAATCGAATTAGATAGATATTAGCCAGATATATTCAGCATCATCAATTATTATAAACCGTTAACTTAATCATCAATTACTCATCGCCATCACTTATCACTCATTCAACGAGAGGCCATTTTTGAAATAATTATTTATGTCAATTACTTTTCCAATTATGTTTCATTTTCATTTGATGCGGTTATATATATTACGTTTGAATTATTCCTTGCTGTAAATACTTTTAATACACGCAAACTGGAGCGGTATTTTGCATTTTAACCAGCTTTTTTTGCTAGTTCATCTTAAATACCAGCTTCCACTTTGATGGGACCTTTAAATATCTGTGAAGCTGCCAGAAAGTGCGAGTGAGTCACCTCGCACACTGGAATTTACAGGTTTTCAAAAAGTGGCCTGCACAAGCCTAGCTGAGTGCCATTCGGTGCTCCCTCCGCAAGCCGGACTGCACCCATTACTGTTGCGGATTTTGTTACTTCAAATTATTATTGTAGAATTATCATTGCTACGAATTTCGAACCACTGATTATTACTGAACGATCTTTATCCTTGTTGCTTCCTTTGTTATCGAATTTTATTTACCTTTTTGTTGTTTTTAAAATGTTGTGGTTGCTTATTATCACAATTTTTTTAAGAAAATGGTCAACTAGTCCCGAATGTTCCAACGTATGTAACCTGCTTAGGCTGATGCAGATTTTTATTAAATAAGGTTATGATTTTAAATAGCTCTTTGAATCTATTTTTCGAGAATGAAGTTCTAAAGGGCATTCTCAGTCATGAATTTCAGTAGTTCCAATAATTTACTTTATTGATTTCGGTAGTTTCAATAATTCCAAGTCGACTACGAAGTGCGTCGGATCCCGTGTGCAAAATAGGGATTACCTTATAAAAGAGAACATTTGAGGCTTTCTCATAAAAACTAACCCCATTTTCTTACAAGGAATTCTTTGAAACTTACCCAACTTGCTATTTTATTTATTATGGGGGTCGTGCTGATATCGACCGGAATACAAGGGCACGTCATCGTTTAGTAATCTTAGATCATCCCGCTTCCCCCTAGGCCGACTGGCGACATCAGCATTACTTTTGAGTATTTTTCGGGTCCATCCCTCCTCTCCCCCTGACGGGAATTGGGAAGTAAGAAGGGGTCTTATTTGAAATTCCCTCAGTATGATGGTGTGACCCAAAATTTGACACTGCCAACGACGACATGTTAGAGGCGAGTTGTCGAAATGTCAGTCAAAATTAATATCCCCCACGGACCTATGGGGTTTTAAGATCCATGTCGCTCTAGAGCTGTCTAAAAAGGACTTTGGCCCGATGTTTCATAGTAGGGCTAATTATCAGGCAATGAAATAACTTAATCAAATTTGTTAGTAAATTCGAGCTTTATTTGCTTAATTGGTCATACTTAATCTTTCTAGAAATATGTCAACGGGGAAAGAACTTCCTATTTTACTTCTTACTCTGGATTTTAATGGAGTTATCCTG